GTCGCCGCGCTGCCTCCCCGCTCGACGGTGGGAGGGTCGTCAACCGTCGCCGCCGCCGTCGTCGCCGCCGCCGCCGCCACCACTGTCGCCGTCGACGCGATCTTCTCGCGCGAAGCAAACGAGGAGATCCATGATAGGATAGGCGCGCGTGTATTTCCACCTTTTTTCCCCCCTTTTCCTGCGCCCCGTAATAAGTCGCGATTGAAAGTCGCCGGCGAATCTCACTGTAGTTCATTAACGCCGATTGCAGTTCTGTACCGCTACATCCTGCGTTAACAGGTGACAATTCTCAAATACGTAATCTCTATTTTTGACTTGACTTAGGCGACGCGAGGGATGCTCTGTACTTTCAGATTGCGTTTAATTTCCGAGACATATATAATGGGTGTAATAATGGCCTTAAGAAATTAATCAATCACAGTCGAATGTGGGACGTACAATCCACTATGATTAGTCAGTTTCTTAGGGCTTACTAACACCTATTGTGTTTCGGGACGTAAGAGCTGTCGGTTCAGATCATGTCTTAAATCTGATTTTATTTAATTGTGCGATGATAGTCTCTCTAAAAGTTTTGGAGTAAATAATGTGATTCTCTAAAGAGTGAAATTTCACTCTTAAAAGTTAACAATTGAACCACTCTTTTTTTTTCAATACTGGTTCAATTGTCACTCATTAGAATTATATTCCACTCCAAAGATTTTAGAATGATAGTACATGGAAAACGAATTTGGTAATAAATTTTAAATCGTGTTTCATGTATATAAGTACTCCATGTCAAATGAGAAATTTCTCAGGTAACATGTCATTATGTTTCATAGCGAACACTTGCACCTTCCACGTTCATTAGTGGGATACCTAATTGTTTGATTCTGAGCGTGACAAAGAATATATCGGGTCGACAGGTTTTCTAAAGCAAATCTCTTTTGTCTGCAGGCAGCTCGCTGTTGCATTATAATAATAATGTGGTGCGCACTTGATGTCGAAATAAAAAATCTGAAGAGACTTGGGGAAATCTCGGAAAAATTCTTTATGTAATTGAAAACTTCATGACTTACAATCGATTAATCAATCAATATATAATTATACGAAATAATAATTTAAAAACCGATCTCAACAGATTGCATTTCGTAAAAAAATTAATAAAAAGAAAAGATTTGTATCAAAATTTTACAAGATTGAAATTTTTGCATTCAAATTGAAATAGTCAATTACAAGAAAATTTTACCTAAAGCTCTATAATCGCAAATCGTGGACCTGTTATTGCTTGGCGAATTGTCAATCCTAATTATTTACATTTTTCTCGTACGTTTTAGTCTCTTAATAAGGGATGTTTAGCGTTGAATTTTAATCGAAACATCAATTCGCATTTCTTTTTATGTAAGCAATTATTGTTTAAACAAATATGAAAATATGGAATTATCAACGTGTTGATACACATTTGATTAATTATTAATGAAATATAAAACTGCAACAATAGCTTAATTATTAAAAAAAAAAGAAAAACGAAATAATTTGAGTAATACAATGTATTCATCGAAATAATTGAGATCGTATTGCGGTGCAAAAAGCAAAAAACGTAACGTACAATAATTGTAACGCTCCTAAAGTCGTAATCACTACAAGTTGCTTTAGGTTGGTTTAGGCTGTTCTACAATAAAGTTGTAAACCGTAAGCTGTAAGAAACTGGCCACTGACAGTTGAATATGAACAAAAAATCGACTGTGATTGGTTAATTTCTTAGGATTTGCGGCTTGCGACCCTATTGTATTATAGAACAAGCCTTATCCGTCACTGGTCACTAGGTCACCGATTGATGCTTCTATTTTAGCTTCTATTTTAGCCAATTGCAGCTAGTCCGTACTTGCTACATTTGATTGACTTATTGACTTAAAATAGAACTTACAACTGGTAACCGTAATGCTTGATCTATATCCTTTAATTTTAATGTGCACTCTTTGATTTTATTTCTTTGAAATGCTAATTTACATAAATGACCATTGTAATACTTGCTGCATCATTAAGCATGGGTCGACGGAGAGCGTATTTATATACCTACCTTATGATATGCCTGTTGACCCCGTATCGTTTCATTATTTTTATATTTATATATACTTATATACATGACAATCACGATATAAATATTTTGACATTAATCTTTAACATTTTCCATAAATCCGCGTCCGTTAATGCTGGCAAAAGCGGTATGTTATAGAAAAGTTATTGTATCTTAAACTTCAGAGCGGTTTTGTCAGAGGCCATTATACGTGACGACGATCCGTCTTATCGTTGGTTCTTTTTAATATATTGACCGTATTATTTGCTATTGCACAATCGTATTACTTTATATATTTTAAATAACGTAAAAAAATATAGCATTAAAATAAAATAATGATATACAATAAGATTGAATAAAAATAAGCCGGAAAGATAACTATTTTCTATAATGATCTAATGATTTATAATTGAGAAAAAGTTATGAAAATAAAAAATTGCTAAGCTCTGATCTAATTTAATAATTAAATGGAATAAAAGTAAGCCAAAAAGATAACAATTTTCTATAACAAGCCAATGATTTATAATAGAAAAATTGTTTTTATATTAAAATAAAAAATTACTCAGCTCTAATCTAATCTAATAATTAAGTATCAAAAATTAAATAATTTAATAATTAAATATGAACAATATTTGAATTTCAAAGTTCAAAAATAAAAGTTTCTCTTTCCATCGTATCTTGATCTTCTTTCATATCTAGAAAAAACAGAGAAGTCTAATAGATTTCTTGTATCATATTTCTGTGCTCTTTCACATCTGTCATGATGTTTCTTTTAGTTTTTATTAATAAATTTCGAGCAACCCCACCCAGAATCGATCTCGAAGTTTTGGCACAGTAACCTTTCGCGAATTCCAAGTCATCGATTTTTATGCGAGCAATATTCACTCGTCTTATACTGGGCTATTTTTACGACCCTCGCAGAATGACCCCGAAATCTAGATCTAAGACGCAGCTTCAGTTTTATGTCCGTGTCTTACTGATAATGATTAATAGCGTATATGCATGCTACTATCAAACGGGAACGGCTTTATCCTGAAAAATTTCGAACTCTAAGATGGGCGAGAGCACATAGTCTTGCATAACGCATAACTAACTTAATGCATAAGAAAATGAATTACTCAGTCTCTTTTATTTCCTTTTTTTCCATGAAATAAAAGACTCTGAGTTGATTTTCTTATGTTTTATACATTATACGTTATGCAAAGGTTTGTATTCCGACCTTAAACCTCGAATCGCATAGGTATATGTAACTCGTATCAGACTTGCTTTGTTCCCACGCGAGTCCGTTTTTGTTTATTTATTAGCACTATTCTTTTACGTAGAATCTGCCAAATCCCGAAAAATCTGTATATAATGCCGCATCAATACAAATATAAATACAAATTCCACACGACGCCGAAATTATTGAAAGTGACAATTAATTACAAACTCGCTTAATTGCCAAACATTAAGATAAAAGTTATAGTAATGGTAACAAAAAATGAATATTATTCCACAAGTGATTAATTTTCTTGCAGTTTTGTTAAAATAGCAAAATAAAATATTTTTTTGTTATAGACTTATAGAGGAACAAAATTCGGTAAACTTTTTTATTTAATAATAACACAATTTTATTTGGTTATTTAAATTTGATAAAAATTAATATAAAATTGGAGGTTGCAATTACAAAAGAAATTTTTATTTTATAATTTCAACAAAATAATCTATTATCGTGTATATAGAACGAGGAGTGTTTCGCTAAGCTGTCAGAAATGTTGGTCTTCTCGTAAAAGAGATTCGATGTTTACCTGCGTAAAGCGGGGATAATTCGAATGAATGATCAGTTTTTTTTGTGTATTTTTCGCCACACCATAGCCAATCATGGTGACAGCCATTTTTTCAAAGCGATTCATAGGTAATCAATCGACCTAATATTCTTGTTAAATTAGGGAAGTTCAAAAACTCTATTTTAATTAATATTTTTATTTGTTGTTAAAAAATTGCAAAAGGATAAAGTTGTTGCTCTGTAAGTTTTTTTTAAAAACAATACTCATTAAAAGAAGATCAGTGCAACAATATGTATGATAAAGCAATAAAATTGTACTTTGTTACTGTTGACGTATCCAAGTTTCGAATTTGTTACTTGAGAAATGAGTAAATAACAACGAAAAACTTTTCAGTATCCAGGCTGCTGCAAGAGTAAAATACCACAAATTTATTGCTCAAATTTGATACAGAGACATTATCTATAAATAATTCTGAAAGTAAAGACAATACTATAGTATCAAATTTAAGCATACAAAATACATTTTTTACTGATACTTTATCGCCTGTACACTGAATGTTTGGTATGAATAACCAAAGTTTGGACGCAAAAACTACAATATTTATTGATACAAAACTATTTTGTATGATGTTTACATGTTCAGAGATCTTTTATAGTTAAAAATCGAACATTTTATTATCGGAACGAAACAATTGTCGGATATTCGCACATCGTAATGTCCGTTCAGTTGTAAAGACGGAACTAATTATCCGATCGGAGGGAACATTGATATAATCGATAAGCGCGCCGTATGTAATTATATAGAATGTTAAAAATATCACGCTTTATTTTGCATTACACCCTGCTCGTTACCAACTGAACGCATTTGTAAGCATTCGCGCGCGGTTTTCGTTCACACGAAGCCGTGAAAGTGTGATCATGTGGGAAATATTTTGCAGTTCTCCGCTCGAAAAAGAAAGTTCCGCGCTTCCACCGATAGACGCGAGATCTCGAGGGGAAGAAGTCGAGCGAGACGCGGCGGGGGCATATCGATAGAGGAAACGCATACGATGAGACGTATGATGAGGGGGAACGTGCCGGCGGTGGTGTAACCTCGCGGGTCACTGGACATAAAAAGAGCAGAGGGAAGAGACAAGTTGTCGTGGGCTTTCGACAATTTAAGCGGCGGCAGAATCAAAGGTCATGGCAACGCCGCCGGACTCCCCGGGACCGGAAGAGGCGTTCTTCGACTTCGAGAGCACGAGGGCGAGGCAACAGACCACCAGACCGGTACCTATAGAGGAACTTCTGCGACAGACGAAGTTTTCCCGCCAGGAGATTCGAGTCATGTACCGAGGCTTCAAGCAGGTACGTCCCTCTTGACCTATCAGGCACCATCGATCCCTCTTGGGGATCTCTTGAATTGGCAAACGCGAAATTATGCAGGGGGCAAAAGCATTTTTATACCGTCCGTATTCATCGCAATTTTTATCGCACGTTCGTTGTAATATGCAAATAAGTTTTATCGCACTTCTCTTCTGCATAGCGCTATTAATTTATTTTCATCACTGAGCTTGCAACGATTTCCCTCTTGGTATATACGAGATTTTCTTCAATTTATTCGAAATTGTTTCATTGGCACTTGCACAGTAGTTTTGCATTTTTTATTTACGATTGAAAATTTTAGTTGTAACACCTGACTCGCAAATCCCAAAGGCAAAAATGTCAAAGAGAGAAAGATTTCCTGATGATAATTTATTTAGAATGTTTCAAAAGTTATTAATTTCACACTTTGTACCTTTTATTAAATATATCTTTGAATATTTAACGTAATGGAATTTGTCGAATGTCATGTTTTATCGCGAAAAACGAAAGTATAATAATCAAGGATGATCAATCATATCTATTACCTCAACGTTGAATTATGCCAAAGGCAAGATTTCCGAACATCGTTTTGTTCGTTATTGCAAGATTGCAGCAACGGTCGGTAGCTGATATAGCATAGTTCGTATTAGTATTTTTAACTCCTTCTTTATTAAAGATAGTCTCGCAAAGTATTGATTATTCATGGGCATCCCACAGAAATTGTGTTAACGCGGTTACGTAAATGAATTGATTAAAGCGCTGTTGGACTCAATCATTAATAAAAAGCATTTTTTTTCCAATCGATTTGCTGCGTTATCATCAAGCATTTGGTTAACCTTAACTATTTGTGATAAACGAATTTTACATCAAAATTGTTACGTGTATTATACAGTAATATGTATACCCAGACAGTACAGAATATTTATAATAAATATTCATTATATTCACATTTTTTGAAATAAAATATATTTTATACATATTTTATAAAACTTAATTTGAAATATTAAAATATATATTAAATATTTCATGTAATATATTTATGACAAAATATAAAGAAATATTTTTAATAAGTATTTTTTATTTAGATTATAATGTCTTATTAAATATTTTCATAGCATTTACTATTACATTTACAATAATTCATATTTATATTAATATTTCATATTTATAATCTATGCAATCTAAGACCACCAAAATATTTAAAATACATCTTATAAATATTTACAAATATTTTGTAAACATTTTATAAATATGATATTGTTTGGGTATTATATAAACATTTTATTATAATATTTAAAATAAATCTGATATTTGTGAGACAAAAGAGCCCGAAAGTCAATTAACATAGGATTATAGGAATAATCAAACACAATTTGTGTGGATAAAATATGAATAAATACGCCGATTTATATTGAGTTTTCACGTAATTTCTATAGTAATGCGTAAAGGTAAGACAATGCAGCAACGAAGTATAAATTGCGTTAGTAACGTGGTAAATGATTGTAGGGTATAATACGTTTATAAGACGTTTATATCGACCTAGAAAACTTTCGGATGCGTGTCCTATTGTAAGAAAGAGTATAGTAGTAGGAACTACTTGCATAAGGTGTATCAGAAAAATGATAAAAACTTGGCACCAGACAAATACGTTTGTTACAGCCAAAAATGAGTTTGGCTCGTTTTCCAATCACAGTTTTGTGACTAAATTTTATACTGCTCGCGTCTATTTTCATCACAATAAATATACGCGATAGAGGTTTCCAATGAATTTTAACAGAAGCTATGCGATGGTATCCTTTGTAATATTGGATTACGAGCTGTTAAATGAACGTAATATTCATATTAAGTTCCTGATAACAATTTATTTGTGCGTAGATAACTGTCTTTTTTAAAATCAAATCTTTAAAACTTATATTCTTTTTCTCTTTTTTCATTATATTTTTCTCTTATTGTATTTTTGTTTTTCAGTGTTTCAAAGGAATTTATTTCCAGAGTACTAAATAAATGATTTCTCTCTCCCTCTTTTAGTTTAAGAAATAAATTGGATATTATTTACAATGAAAATATTAACATGTCGATTACGTGTATATTTCTTAATATTTTCAAATGAGTGCACTAAAAGGTAAAATATTCAAATGTGTGTTATCGGAAAAACGGCAAATACCTGCGATAATCATCCCGGAACATAATTACATACGCGATGCTACTTACTCTGCTGTTCATTCATACCAAAGTAGTACCATGTCGATATTGGATCTATGGGCTCGTTATACGTTCGCGCTTTGCGATGCATAATTTTTCGCTGGCGCACGGTTCGATGAAACTCAAAGCCGTACACGCTTCGGAATTCTGTGCGGCCCGTTACTTTCACGATTTTCGTAAAATATTCACCAGTGAGCGATCGCCAGCGAGTTGCGGCGATGTGACGGTCAGTGCGGTAGTCAGCCCGACGTTGAGCCGCCCGCGCCGATGTGCGGTCTCTCCAAGAGAGATAACGTAAATATCTGCAAGTTCTTGCGGTTGTTTTGTACAATATGTTCTTGAAAAGACGTATATTGTCAGCAAAATTATGTTTAACTATGTCATAGTGACAACTTGTCTATGACATAGTTAAACAGCCGTTTACAGCTGATGTCTTAATGAGAATTTAAGAAATAAAAGTTGAAAAAGGATCCTCTTACATACAGTAACAGTGAATTTGTAACAAGGCTCTAAGAGTCAAAACGTAGTTCGCAGTGCGTATAAATATGTAATAACAACATAAAACGTTCGTTTATTAAACATATAATAACGTTCAAATGAGGGTACCGTACAGAACGAACGTGTCGACTCCACTTTAGATCCAATATTTAACATATAAAAAGTTAATAATTTACTATAAATTTCCATCCTTATATTCTACGGTCATATATAGTTTTAAGGGTAAAAATTATTGCGTTTATCGGTAAACGAATTTAGAATCGCCTTAAGTATGATTCTCCCCAGTCATTTAGCTTTATAGGCCTTCTACAATAAACCATAAGTCATAAATCAGAAGTCAGAAACTAAAAATTGACGACTGTGATTAGTCTAGCTCATGACTTATAATTTATGGCCTATGGCTTATTGTAGAAGGCCTATTAGGGTCACACTAAAAGCTTTAAGCAGTGAAACGTAAGCAGTAAGCGAATTGACCAATCACAATAGAGTCCGTAAGGCCATAACATAAACAGTAGCGAATCCAACATGTTGATTTCCTAACTGCTTAAGTTTTAAGTCTGAAGTTTTATGTGCCATTACGGCATAGAACAAGGTTGATCGCAAACCGTAAGTTGTACGAATAAATCAACCAATCATAGTCAATCATTTTTTTCATATTCAACTGCGATTGGTGAATTTCTTACTGCTTACAATCCTAATGTAGAACAAGCACAAAAGATCTCGGCGTACGTAACGTGCTGCATACATAGCATTGCACGATGTTATATATGCTGCATTGGGCGCTAATGTATGCACCTACGTTCAATCATAGCACCTTTTGCCCTTAATATTAAAAGCGGAGATTAAGCGAACACGCAAGCACGTATTAGAGAAAGTAGCCCGCTGCAGAATTTAAGGTTATTCACTCCGGGCAGGGTGGTTCAATTTACCTAGTGGGACGTGGACGAGCTGTCCGGACACTAACTAATTCAGTAGCCGCTTACACAATGACTCGCGTATCGTCGTAACACGAAGGGTGCTATAGAATAGCATAAGCGCGAACTAAGCCGTCCCTCGGCGCTTTTTCACGGCCGCCCCCGTATTTCTTCTTCGCGATCGCGCTTTTAACGGTATCGCACGCGGGACCGCCCCGAATAAAATTGAGAAATGCGTTCCGTGCATTTCTCGCTCTCACGGGTACAAGGACGAAGGGCAACCACACGGTGTTCGCTATATCTGATGCATTTCATCGTTCGATTCTTCCCGAGAATAGGAGGGTTGGAAAAAGAGTGCAAGGACAATCGCGTTCTCGAAACAATGTGCCTCTTGTAATTATTGTCAGCTCACAATAGACGGCGATAGGGCGAACTTTTGAATAACGAGAGGAAGATCGGCATCGGAACAGCATCTCTCCATAGCCCGATATCGCATGCTATTGTGTAACAGATGTATGCATTGTCAGATCAACGAGTGTGAGAGATGCACTCCTGCTTTTTTTGTTGGTTGTGTGTCTTGGGATAATGTAGAGATCCTTTAACAGGAATCTGAATACGAATCGTAGTTTTGTGTATATCTATGCAGAGTAGTTCTAACAAATCACACGAGAGAGAAGGGCATATATTTACTATTTCTTTCTTTTTCTCATTCTGTTCTTTATTATCTTTTATCTATTTTCCTCTCTTTCTCTCTCTCTCTCTCTCATATTGCCATCAAATGTCTAATCAACTCTCCAAATATCATATTTTTTTCGCGCATATCATATAGTTTTGTCTACATCATCTCAATGCTACTGCTTAGGGAAAGGTGAATAATCCAATCGCTCAGTTTATTGTTTTAACTATTATTAGATTATAAAAACATTGAAAGATGAAAAAAAAAAAGAGAAATTACATCACTTATATCAGGTTTTTCTTCTGTTGCTGAACTAGTGTACACTTTTGGAACTTAAAGTGAGATAGGTATATGTTTGATAGAGGGTTATTTGTCAAGAGCGAGAAAAACAGTTCTAGTAAAGTTTAGTGCAGGAATAGACCATTTAATATAAATCAAAAGATATGTTGTCACTGTCAGTTTTTGTAAATGTATCATAACGATTACTTCAAGGTGGAAATTTTATCTAGAAGGTTTTCTTTAGAATCTTTAGATCATAGAAATATGTTATTAGACTATTGAGTCACTTATATGTACCTTTAATGTGATCAAGTGTCGGTTGTCTCGTACGTATTTTCTGTCATAGAAAAGAAAATGTACTTTCCGCGATGTACGTGATCGACATATTCTTTTCTACTCGGATATACACGAATTCAGATTGTCGATATCAAGAG